GGGGTCTTGGGTTGTTGTTTTTTTTTTAATTCAAAATTTGAAGCTTAATAGATCTAGATCAAAACAACAATCCGAAGATTTATGAGTAAGGCAATTCCCTCAGCACATAAGTGGCCTCTGTGGTGTAACGGATATTCGTTTGCAGTCGCACACAGGAGACCCGAGTTCGATAACCCATTGGAGAGACTTTTTCTATAGTGCTTCCTTTTTCATCTAGGATATTTAATATTTATGCCTCATATTTCGGGTTGATCCTTACAGCAGGTTCGAAGCCAGCCTCATAAATGATATTATTATTGATTGTGTCTATATGGGTGTAAGGCATCCACATTAACCCTATCTATACGCAATGGGGTCACTTTGTACCCCCGAGGCTGTATTCTTCACATTTTAGAATAGGACTATTTCTAGTACCAAAATCTCTTAGAAACGTTCAGTATTTCAACAAAAAAAAATCATTTTGACAGACTTCTATGCAAAGCGTACGGATCGGATTAACGAGTAAATTCCCTCTTTGGAAAGTGGTGTCACAGAGCTCCCCACGCCGTATGGATACGATAGTAAAACACGATGTATGGATAGTATAAAGCAAAAAGCTCAACGCATCGGACAGAGGGAAGAGAAGTAATCCAGCGCCTCAACCGCGGTCACTCATTATCTCTTCCTCTACAATTTGTAACTTTCGACGACGACGACGATGGGAAAAGCTTCAGCAACAATAACAGAAAAGCACTAACAAAGTCATTCATTTTATAATTTATTAAACACTTTTATTGGTTCAGTTAGTTCTCTCTTATTGCGACATTACGAGAAATCTATTTACATAATCTTGTTTTGTCTATTTAATAGAAAAGCGTCATTTGATATGAATGGGTAAGGACTAAAACAAACAAAATTAATATAAAAAAACCCTCATTGCTCAAAGAAGGAAGCCATGTTGGTGAATGGTAGAAACATTATTCCCTGGTGAAGCCACAATTGCCGTGTAGATTGTCGTTTTATGCAGCATAACCTGGCGGGGAACACTGTACACGAATACAACAACAACAGTACCGATAATAA